AACAATTCCAGCAATTGAAACTTTATGGTTTATTCAAGGTTTGTCTAAGCTCACATTTTCTATACTATTTTAAATTGCCTTTAGAGGAGAATGGGAATTTGTGGTGAAAAGTTTCTCCCGTGATATAGCGTTCTCTTAAAAATTTTAATATCTTCGCTACTACTTTTAATCTTTTTAGAGATAATTTTTTTTCTTCCCGATATTAAGACGCTAGGCACTAATGATTAGCAGTAATTTTTTCTGATATTTATCTCAATTTTCTAGATCTAAAAAGCTTTTAATGTTTCCTACCCTTACTACCCATAAACTAGCTATAGCCGCCGTAGAAACTTCCAGTGCCTACTTTAGGAATCTCAGCTGTATGTTATAAATTTATAATAAATATTACGCATTTCTTGAGTGAAAGATGAGATAACGGTTAAAATTTTAAGGAAAATACGAAAAAAAAGAAATAGAAAAACACAGGCGAAAGAAACTTGGTTGATTATTCGCCGAAATTACGCAATGAAAAAGAGTTGTCACATTCCTCATATATCGGGTTAGAAGTGATTGTTTTGAACTAATCATTTAATTTCAGTGTTTAAAAATGGCACACATCTCGTTCTTTCGTAAGTTCTGCGTACTTATGGCCTCGCGCGCTCTTAAAACGTCAAACATAAACATTTTCCTCTAATTTTCGCTTCAACCAGGCGGTTATGCTTTTTGTTTTTGTTCCACTTCAACAATTTTCCCTGAATATTTATGCTCTAATTGGTTGAAGGATGGAACTCGAAAATGTACGTTGTCGATTAAAGTACAAAAAATTAATATTAATTTAATGATACAATTATACGTTTATCGTCAATGTTCTTTATAAATAAGCAACTTAATGAAACGACAAAAAAAAAATTCTTCTTTTCATTTATAAACGCTTATAAAATGTATAAAAGTACACCTAATTAATTTTTTTTTCACTTATCGATGATTTCATTAACATTTGCTAAATGGATGAAATTCACTAGCTTTTGAATGACAAAAGTTAGTCAAACACTTATGCAAATATATCATGTATCAGATTGTTAATAAGTTAATACATGTTGGCAAAATAGTTATTAGTAAAGAGGAGAGTTTATCACATGGTGAAAAAAATTCTGGTAAAATGACCGCGTGGTACGTTAATTACACTTCTGGTAAAAAGAACCATAATTATGGTATTAAAAACAAAAATATACGGTTGTATAACTGTTTATTTGATAACTTTTCCGCTCATATGAATAACGGTTTAGCGAAATTCTGGTTCTCAAAATTATAGTTCTTATTACCCCACATTTAGTAAAAAATACAAAACTGAAGAAATATTTTAACCAAATAAATGGTTTTTATGTAAGGCATCAGGTTAAAATTACCAAAATTTACTTTATTTTACTTTATTAACCAAATTTCATCACATATTATAAAACTATATATGATTGTTAATTTTACCAAAATCATTACTATAAAGCGCTTCCATAAAAACTTTCGGACTTTTTGGTGTTCCCATGGTGCAGACATATGGTGAACTTGACCCTATTCTGGTGGTTTTGACCATACTTCGTTCTCGGTCTGAGTATACAACATAAAAATTGCGGATAAAATACACGACATAAGAACTGTGGATAGAAACTTCCATAGAGGACCTGATCGCATTTTACCTTCACATGACAACTCCTTTTATAATATGAAACACGTATATTTCATTTACCATTACTTGCGCTTACACATGCACGATACTTTTTTTCCAGCCTACTAATCTGAGCTTTAACATAAAATTTCTAGATTTTTCTATAGAAAATAAATAGAAACTACTAAGAATGCTAATTGTTTCATTATTTAAAGAAAAAACAATGTTAAACGCTTTCCATGACTTAACCGTCGTTGAACAGCCGACCCATTTCTGGTTTACAACTACCAATGTTCAACTCCGTATCCTCGTAATTTTGATCCCCCAATACAGAAGACAAGGGAACTCCTGGATCAGTACCCCCAGAGGTATTGATTTGTTATAGGAACTTGGATGACTTAGCGACCCCGACAGATTTAACGAGCATCACGGCCTCTTGGACATGAGCCCAGTGCCCTACCAACTAGGCTATCCCGGCCTTACCCATGACTTTAAATTTTTTATTTTGATCTCAATATACTTGAAATTTTTTGATTGCATTACACTGCATCCTCTTCAGTGATTTCATCTTTTCTGACATTTTTGACTTACTATTTCTCCTTATATAGAAAACATTTATAATCTTCTTTTACTTATCTCTTCAAAGTACAGAATAGGTTAATGGGGATTCCTTACATTTTTCGGCTATGACTCAAAGATAATATGAAAATAAAAAATGTTTGGAAAGTATCCATTATTACAAAATATTCATTGAAAAAAAACTTAATTCTAATATAAAAAAAAACAACTTACATTTCTATTTATTTTTTGAATTCAGTAAACTATTTTCGAAACCTCTTTTTATAAAAAATTTTTCAGTTCGCTACGAGTTGATCGCCAAAAAATTTAGAAAATAATTAAAGTTAAAAATTTTTTTAAAAAAATGTCAAAATAACTTCATGGGTCATGAGTTTCTTTACAAAAATTTACTTAAAAAAAAACTATTAGAGAAAATCTTCAATTGTATTGTACATGCTCTAAAATTATAATCATGCGGTGGTAATCTTGAATGAGTTATGCATCTTAATCTTTAAGCAAATAAAAAAAAAAAATTATTTTTTAAATGTTTTTATGCCTGTATGAATAACAAAAAATTAAAAAAAAGGGGAACTAAGAACTTAACTTTTATTTTCAAAGAAGCCTTCGTGACACTTCCTTGAAATGACTGAGACCCATGTTTTGGGTTAAGAACTTATACCACTAAGTTAATAACTTACATCAAAACTTTTTGTTAAGATTTTAAAAATTGTATTCCTTATTTTCCGAAAATACTCTACTTATTTTTAAAATATGTGAGGAATAAACTAAGATTCCAAAATACTATAACTGGATAAACATCTCTGATTCCTTTAAATAAGCAGTAACGGGAAATTTTTCTTATCTATGGTCTACAGATGTCAGACAGCCTTAAAATTAAACAAAACTTTTGTTCTTCGGCTTACGCTCGTACAGGAAATAAAATTAAACTCATTTACTTATAGGAGGACGATTGCTTTTTTCCAAAAAGATAACTGTGGCAGCACAAGTGTTTCCTTATTAGGATTAATTTTTCAGAGACAAGATGTCTACGGTAATATATCTTAATATTATCAATATTTATCTATTGATCTGAAGGCTAAGCACAGATCTTTTTTTTTAAAGTTAAAGTGGTAGGTAAGAAAGAGAATTATCCGCTTGGGCATAGACAAATAAACACTACTAATTTTTTGATATAGGTGTTTTTCATAAATTTCAATATTATTTTGTGGCCACGCATTAATGTGTGGTTGCTGTATATTTTCAGATGATTCACATGGATACTTTTTCTCTTCACTATTTATCAAAATGAGATTTGTAACTAGAACATGGAAAAAAAATTCTGGTAAAATTACCGCACCATATGGTAATGACATTTCTGATAAGAAAACCATGATATAGGTTACCATAAGAATAGGCTAATATCACAAAAATATAAGGTATTTTAATCATTCGTTTGGAAATTTTTCCATTCATATGGTAACGGTTTACCGGAAATTCTGGTTTTCAAAGTTATAGTTGTTATTATCACACATTAAGTAAAACATCCAAAACAAAAAAGTAGGTTTAACTGAATAAATAGTTTTTAGTCCATGATCTAAAGTACCATGATAAAATTACCATATTTTATTGCATATTATAAAACCATATTTTATTATTACTTTTACCAAAATCCTTATAAAAGCGCTTCAGTAAAAATTACCGAGCTTTTTGGTGTCCCCGTATTCTGGTAGTTTTGACCATACTTTTATTTTTCTCAGCGATTTAGGATATATTGAAAGTACACTCTCACAAAAAATCGTTCCAACGCTGAACATTGCTATCTTCAACTATAGCATCATAAAAATTTGCTGCAAGCTTTATAAAGTGCTAAATTGAACTTTAAACTAAGTTTTCGTTTAAGTTGAACCATAGTAGCGTGTAATAAAATTTAACAAGAATTAATATGCGCAATAGAATTTAGCACTTTATTATGGCTGCAGCAAATATGAATGATATTTTGGTTCAACATGCTGTGAAACTTATATGGGAGTATAGAAGCTAAGAATCTGATTTTTAAGGAAACAATTTTTGCATTATAAAAGATCAGGTAACTTACTACATAAACCATAGCTATAAATATTTGTAATATTTTACACATAGCGTTAAGATATTAAATATTGTTTATGACCATTTACAGATCATTATTACACATTTATTAATTTTTTTAAAGTTTATTACATCTAAATATTATATTGAGGCCTACGAGTCACCCTCATTTGCAGAACGATAATAGCAATAAAGATTTTATAATTATTGTAATTTCCAAGCAATTCACATAAAAATCTTAATTTTTATAATGTTTAAAATTTTTAAGCATAGGACAAGGGTTGCTTTTGAATTACTTTTTTTTTCTTACTGAGTTATACCATAGCTGCTAACTGTTCCGATTTTTTATTATTATTATTTTTTTATTCAAAGTGGCAATGTAATAAATAATATTTTTCCAAATCATCTGAAACACATTCACCCAGAACTATCTGGTATTTATATCTGAGTTATTTATTCTACGTGCAATGGAAAATCTTTATAAATCACATTTATTACATACACTTTCCATTAAAAAATAAATAAAATACATTTTGCTAGCCAGAAAAAATCTTACGGCTACAATGGTTAAGTTGGCATTTATTGTTTCTACGTGACTATAATCTTCAAATATTGTTATTTTTATTTTAAAATAATTACATTAACACTTCATATTCGACATCACATATTAAAAGCAGTCGTTACAATCGTTTAAAATAAATGAAACGATTCAACTCACCCCTGCCGCTTCGACCCACAAATCTTAGGTCATTGAATTTGGCAATTTGGTTTTTGACGACAGCCGTCGAATTCCTCATCTCACCGCAGTAGTTCTCGTCATTGCCCGCTCTTATAGTGACCGATGTCCCGTCCATGACCTCTCCCAAAACGACCACTTTGAAAGCGACAGGTAATGTTTTGTTCGATCTCCAGTGGTTGGGCAGTCCAGTACAGAGAATATTGGGGCTAGCCGTTCTCACCAGTTCCCCCGGGTGCTCGCCGAGCACTTCACACAAGCCCCGGTCAACAAAGTCGGTCATGGCGGCAGAGGCGCCTCCACCGCGCGTCGGTTCACTCGGCACATGCATGCGGCAATGGAATGGGTGGCCTCAGAAGGCAGCAGCGGCAACCACGCCGCTCTCTATCCGCCGAGCTAGCCAATTGAGGCTTGTTGCGTCAAGGGTTGCCAGCGTCGCGTTGTGGGCATGGAGGAAGAGAATTTTTTTCATTCTTCTTTATTCTGCGTCTTCTCGCCATGTCGCCAAGAGGTTTTGGTTTCGGTATTGTTGGACAAACGGAGAGTGTGTGGATAAGAAAATGAAAGGGTTAGTGCTTCTGCTTTTCATACAACTAAAAGTGGAACCTTTGATTTCTATAATTGTATGTAGGAAATAATTTTTGTGTTCGTTATAACATGTTTCTTTTTTATTTAAAAATTGAAAATGACGATTCTATTGATATAGTTTAGGACAGACAAATTCATGCTGTTATCATATTCTAATTTAACAATTAGAATATGAATCGCATAAAAAATGGCTTTTAAGTCCAACATTGAATGTTGGTTTGGGATGTTTAATAAGCAACTACAATAAATAATAAAAACTTTAAATGAGATTTATTTTGATGTTTATTTTTTCCAATAAAAGCGATATTCATGAGGAGTTTTCTTTTCTCCGTATGCTAGGAATATGAACTGGGAAATCCATGTTTAACTTCAATGGAATTGCAAATTACTTGAAAGAAAAGTAAAATAAAATAACTTTACACCCGTTGTTACTCTATAACAGTGATTATCAAACTTATTTCTTTTACCGCCCCCTTTGAAAATCAATTATTTTTCAGCGCCCCCCATTTTTTATACACCCCTAAAACTTAAAAACCACAATTTCATTACTTTAATTTAGTTATACATATTAGTCGGTTCTGATGTTTAAACTTACATTCTAAACTAGAAATTTTTACCAGTGAGAGCAAATAAAACCTAACTTCATAATATTAATAATATATTTTAATCAAATTAAAAGAAACAATATAAATATGTAATCAGTTTTCGTTTTTATACTAATCTAATGAGATGGATGAATTTGATGATATTTAATAAGTTTGTTGATATCAGGTTCGATTTTACTCAAAAACAGTCGTAAGTCGCCGCGTTTGGTTTGCAGCGTTTTCACAGCGCTAAATCCACGTTCACACAAATATGACGATGGGAATGCTATCAAAAATCGTTCAACGATAGACCACAATACAGGGTACAACTGCAGAATTGACTTGTGTAGCCGAAATTGTTGGTAGCCATTTTTGTATTTGATTTTTATTTCCTCGTTCGTGGTCAGTTCTATAAATTCTTCTTCCAACTGGGGTGATATTGCTATGTTGACATTTGAAGAAGGATCTAACACCCAGTCTGGTATTTCCAATTTCAAAATGTCCTGGAATCTTTCAATGAAATCACTGTGAAGATTCCCCAAATGTTGGCAGTAGACGAGCAATTCGTCGTTGTTGCAGGATACTGATAAATTGGGAAAATTATGGAACTCACGTCTGCCAATATTCTTTTTGTGTAAGAGCAGCTTGGCTACGAAAGAAGCGACGTCATTTTTTGTTTTTATTAAGTTCAAGTCATCGCCTTGAAGTTGGAGATTCATATCATTAAGCAATGTATAAAGGTCTGTCAGGTATGCGATATCATTCTTTGATGTAATGAGGTTTTCGCACAATTCTGTGTCTTTGTTTTCCAAGAACTCTATGACAGAGTCAAACAGATTGTAAAAACGTGTCAGACAATTTCCTTTTGATAGCCAACGCACTTCTGTGTGAAAGATCAATCTGTTGAAATCTTCATCATTATCTACACAAGGCTGATTAAATAATCTGTCATTTAAAGAGTTATTTCGGATTTTACTGACTGCTCTGATGACATGTTACAATGATTGAAATAGTCGTTCACTTAAATTTCTAGCAACTAAATGCTGTCCATCTATAACGCAATGTATAGCAAGCACATCAGGAATTTTCTTTTTTAAGTACGATATGAAGCATTTTTGACACCCCGTCATAGCTGGAGCACCATCTGTAGCAGCTGATATAATATTCTTCAACGGAATTCCTATTTCATCACAAAATAAAATATAAGATAAGATTCTCATCATAATAAGATATAATGTATCATCATAATAATATAAGATTCTCATCATAAGATAATTAAAATTTTATATTTCGACCAGTAAATAATACTACTAACAATAATAACTTAATTAACTACGGAAAATAAATTAATATCATTTCGTATTATAGATAAATATGGGTAATTTCTCATAGAATTTTAGTTTATAATTTAGAACTGGTTCAAATGAAAACCGCCGCCTAAAACAGCGTTTTTATTAATTTGTCATATTTAATATTTATAATATATAGAAATAGTAAACGATGCTTACAATAAGTGAACTGTTTAGGCTTACTATACTATTTGACACTGGATGGTCATGGGATAATTATAAAATAAATTTCTAACACAACTTTTTGAACATTAATTATATACGTATTTCCATTTTATATAAAAATGATGATTCTTACATCAGTAATTTCTTATAAAATGCTAGGAAAATGCTGTAAAATGCCCTTATGTTAAAAACAAGAAAGAAAGTAAAGAAAACTTCAATTTATGTTAGTTTACGTATGTATAATATTTTAAAACTCTGCATGTTAGTTTTTTTCCTAATGTTTAAAATAATTTCTGGTGCAATGTAATTAAGGTAAAATTGCTCTAATTTTTTAACTATCATCGATCATGTTCCTTTATCTATC